CCAGGAGGTGGCTCCATACCTGGTAGGCAGCACAACCTTCAGCTCACACGTGCACAGCCCCCAGCAGCAAACAGCATTCCCACACCACCATCCTCCCCAGCAAGCAGGGCAGTGTTTCTGCTCCTGACCAGGTGACAAAAGGCCAATCTCTGCAGAGGTCATTAAGGAGAACAGCAGGTGTTGCCAGTTTCCTATGCAAAGCAAATTGCAAATTAGTTTTCCACTTCCTACTAAATTGAAGGGGACTCTCATTGTCCTCCTTTTGATTGTTGTACTTTGGGAACATAAGTAGTACTTACACACTCGTTCTTTAAAAGAGATGCAGCAATTGTATGTTTATGTACTTATGAGAAAAACTGCAAGTTTACTGCTTTACTCATTTTTGTTTGACCAGTGACATTTAATCCCAGTGAAGCAGCAAGCTCTGCTTTCAGTGCTTTCCCTGGTAAATGTCACTGCTACAGTGCTGCATTCACCAACTCTAAAGTAGCTTTTATCAGCAGTGGTGCCATGTGCCAGTGTTCCCGGTGTTCCCAGACTGCTGCCTTAGCTTATTTTCTTTCAACAGCTGTGGAAAATATCTAAGAAACAAAGGCAACAGCTATTCCATTTTTATATAAAAGTGGTTGATAGGAAATTAGATTTGTAGAGTTGCTGAAGGTAGATGTTGTATTCTGATCCTTTACTTTTAAACTTCCATTAATATACAGCTTGATTTATTTATTTTACTGTTTAGAATTTGGTTCGATTGAATTGGCAGAGAATTTTAGTATGTAGGACTTAGTTTACAGACCTAGCTGTGAGCCCAGGCAGCCAGTGAGCCAATTTAACAGTGAGCTGAGCTGGACATTTCCTCGCATTAGAGGTGCATATGAATGGTGTAGAAAGACCTGTGGCACTGGCTTCTGGAACAATCCCTTACAACTTATTGGCAACAAATATCCAGTGACCAGGAAAGTCCTTGGACAGTTACAGCTCAAGAGGTCACAAAAGTGACACAAAAATTGTCTTTGGTCCCCTTTTCCCCCCTTTCTACTGCCTCATTAAGGAAGGCTGAACTTAGAGATTTTCAGAAACATTATCTCATGCAACACAAATATTCTACTGGCAGCCTTGCAGCTAAAGTAAATAGATTCTGAGAGAAACAGATAAAGGGAAGTCGGAAGTGTTTTCTGAGGGAAACAGCATTCATTTACAAATGCTGTTTGTAAATAGATGCTTCTTGTCCAATAGATGCCTGCCTCTTCCCCAGAGCATACTGGTGATTGCCATGGGCTTCACTGGGAGATACTGGTATTCTGCTGGTGGGGAAAAGCAAAAGCCTTGGTCTTTTCAAGGTGTAAGACATAAATAATTTTCCAAAATTTACTTTTGAATAGTGCTTTGAAATTCACTAGTAGGACTGCTCATCTTTGAGGAAGGCTGTGGGTGATTCAGTTCCTTCCATCATCCTTTCCAGTTTGTGTACAGGCAGGAGCTGAACAGCAGCATTTCTGCCTTACACCTTCTGCAATGGTTCCTCATCTATATAATGTACATATTTGTTTTCTCAGAAGTTTCCCCTGTACATCGTACACTTGAAGAGTGTATGATGATACTTGAAGAGTGTATGATGTTGGACTCCAAGCAGAAGGACCACTGGTCTCCCTTCCTGCTGGCAGTGAGAGAGAGTAAATAGGACTGGTCAGACCAGATTTTTGGAGAGGAATTGCCACTGCAATTGCAACTACACCAGTTCTAAGCAGGACATGCCTGTAGACACGTACTGAAGGTTAACTGGAGGTTAATTTTTAGTTCTGACTTACAGATCAGAGCCACCAGTTCAGATAGGGATCTGTTTGTGGGCTTCAGTAGGTTTATAACAGTCTTTTTCATGGCCAGTTCCTAAATCCAAGCATTTTGGGATAGGACCATCTATAACCAGAGTATTATATGAGCATTTTGCATACAGAAATCCTACAGAGTCACATCTACTTTGTCCTGTTTGAACTCATGTGTGTGGAAAGGGAAAGAGCAGAGGACATGAGTTATGATCAGACCATGTTTTTTTTAATGATGCCAAGTCCATCATTTTCCTGATCCTTTTTCCTGCATGCAAGTACTTTTCTGTGGATCAAAGGGCATCTGAGAGGCAGCTTAAAAATTATAAACAGTCAGAAAATGTAAACTGAAAGTTTGAACTGAATGCATCATATCAAAACCTGAATATAGGAGAGGTATTTTATTATTATTTTAATTTTGATTGCTGTCTTTCTGTTTTGTACCTCAGCAGAGTAAGAACAGGAGCTCAGTGTTGTCTTCAGAGCTACAAAGAGGTTCATAAATAGATGCATTTAGTGTTATTTCATTACATGATCTTTTGTGAGTACAGTTAGTTTGGGATTCATTGTGGGATTCATTTACCTCCATGTGTGTATCTAGACACAAGAATACCAAAAGGACTGGAGCTGCTGGCCAGGCTTAATAACGGGGAGAAGTAGGATGAAGTCTATGGCTTCATAAAGACAATGATTGTAAAAATTCAGCTTTTTCTAAAACCCATTTTATAGTCCTAAACTTCTGAGCTCAGTGGAATGTTAAGATGGCTACCTGACCTAAATCATATCCACAACTGGTATATTTTGTGTGAGACTGTGGAATGTAAGGGACCAATGTTTGAGCTTTCATAGTAGATGGAGGCTAAAAGTGTGCAGAGCCTTTCATGAAGGAAGACAGCTGGAAGGGTGCCTGAGGACAGAGATGCAAAGAGAGATGAACACCAGTGATCACAAAAAACACTAGGAAAGGGAGGATGGGTGGGAGACATCTCAGGGGATTGGGTAGAGTACAGACAAATTGATGGAAGATGAAGGCACTGGGGAAAAATAGGGGAGAGGATGGCAACAGAATGGAGAAAGGGCCGGGGAGCAGTGAAGGTAAGACAATATGTGACTCCAGGTAGCTCTGCTAAGGAAGGGGAAGGTGGAGTTTCTGTTCAGCAGTGGTGCACATTTTGGTCCGTTCCCTTAAAACTGGATTTTGAATAGGAAATCAGTAGTTAGACTGTATAGTCAACTCACAAAAATAATAAGTAGTAAATAATATTTTGGGGCTTTAGGTGCTTCTTATGCACTTATCTGAAAGAGGCCAGCTTCTGCAGGGATGCTGGTGGGTTTTGCCTGCAGACACAGGAGAACAAATTGTTTCCTATGCCTACATTTATGCTACAGAAACAAATGTTATTACAAATAGAGATACTTAAACACTCCTTAAGTTACATGTCAGTAGCCATGTACCAGCATCACAGCCAACATTCATGCAAATTAATCAAACTTTCCAGGAAATATGGCAAAATGCATTATTTAGTTTACAGATATGGAAACGTTTCTTTGAAATGCAAAAAGGCAGCATGTCTGGTTGGTTTATGTCATTACTCACCAAACCAAATGTATAAAAAACAGATCTTCATTCTCAGTAGATTGTAGAGTATAAGGCCCCAGTGTGGATGTGCTTGAAGTCAGGTTCAGCAGGAGGTTTGAAACCACAGTATTCTTCTCCGATTTCAAAATTCTAGGATGTAAAGATGATGTGTTCACCTTCTGAGCTATATGATACAAAAATAATACAAAATAAGTACATCGTTGTAAGTTTCAAATTCGAGTAGCTGTGGATGATGATACCCTAAAATTTCAATATTAAAACTGCATACAGCTCATTACTTGTAAGGGACTCTGAGAAAACATTAGCAAAGTCTTGCATTAATAATAAATAGTTCAATTAAGATGAACAATAAAATTAGAACATTTTTAAAACAGTATAACAGTCTGTTGATTCTGGTCAGAGAACACAGCATTACAATCATCACATCCCCCAGCTGGGTTTCTGGGGCTATGTTCAAGGCAAAGAACATGAGAGAAATTGGAACTCCATAGCACCAAATCTGTTGCTGCTTTTAGCTGAGGCAAGGTGCTTGTAACCAGATTATCAGTGGGATCTTGCCATGAAGCAGGAAAGGAAATGTTCTGAACTAATTGTTACAGCCCTGAAGCAGAAATTCAGTTTCCCCCACCAGTATAATATCTTTCACAAGCTGGTGAACTTGGAACAAAAAAAAGTGAGTTTATGGGGCATGGGCCATGATTTTATAAAAGAACTCTTTATTTCCATGTAACCCCAGCTGTGCAGAAAAGTGCTGATTACATGGTAGTATTTAAGTTTAGTAAGAAATTTCTTGCCTGAAATCAATTTTGATACCAAGTAGATTGGCTAATATACCCTGGTTTAAACCTTTTAAGCAATCTGTTTTTCAGTTGAACAATATCTAAAATTAAAAGAGTACTTTCTTTTATTGTTAACATTTATAAGTGAATTTGAGATCTCTGCTCAAAGGACATGACATGTTTTTACTACAACAGCTTCCTTCTGTATGCTTTTAACTGTCTCCTAGTGTTTATTAAAAATAAAAAATAAAATCTAGTCACACATGTCAGCTAATAGATTCTTGTGAAGGTCCTAATTCATCAGCACATTTTTGATGCACTCTTAAGTGTTTTGCTGACGTAAGCCAAGGTTCAAGAGGTTTATAACTGGATCCCAAGTTTAATACTAATTAAATTTCTTTGGCTTTATTATGTGCACAGATTTAATGGATGATACAACACAAAACTGTGACTGAGAGTGGAAGTTGTTTTGGTTATATACCCATGAGTCAAGGAATTGTAAATTCCTCCATAGAAATAACTGTGCCATCTCAGAGGTCTTTTCCTCCTTCATAACATGTAAAGAAATATGGCATTTCTGTAAAGAAATACGGTATTTTTCATATGGCATTATGTGGTACTTTGAAATAATGTGTTTTGTTTGTCCCTCACATTTTTTCATATTCACCTGCCTTTTCTGGGTTTTTAAAAATATTTTTTGAAATATATTTTTTGTATAAATGTCATGTTAAATACATATACACTTAATTCTTTACTGTATGAAAAAACTGATTACTTACTTTTGCGTTTCATCTCTTTTAGATATTGTGCAATGGACCAGGAACATGTGTTCCTGTCTGTTTATCTGCTTTTCTTTTTGGCCTCCTACGAATAAAGAGAACAGTTATTGTGTATGTAGAGAGCATCTGCCGTGTGGAAACTTTATCCTTGTCTGGAAAGATTCTTTACTACTTTTCAGATTATTTCATTGTTCAGTGGCCTGATCTAAAGAAAAAATATCCCAAGTCAGTGTATCTTGGTCGAATAGTGTAACAACAGAAGACAAGCTAAGCTTTACCTGAAATAGACTCTACAAGCTCCTCACTTGCATTCCTGTAGTAATTTATTTTCAAGAATTCCTGTCACAAAATTAGGCTGGTACTTTAAAATGAGACAATAAAGTTTCCTCTACATTTAAGTAAAATTTGTGTGTATTTGTATTTATTGCTATTATGTAGGTCTGTTTGCCAATAACTCATAGTGGCTCTAAATCTATCCCGTCTCTGTTTTCATCTAGTTTTTCTTCTTTGTGAATGGTAATTTTTGTCTAAAAATAAATATGGGAATTTGTATGAATGTAGCATTTCCTGTAAGGAAACTTTGTGTCATTTTTTAAATTGTAAGCAACAAGGTCTTTTTCTAGCACAAGAGATTTTATTTCCTTTATCCTAGTGGTGAAGTCCCTTGTGAATCCTTAGAGTATAAAGGAAACAGTTATATTAAGTTGGCTTCATGACAGTTTGTACTTCACAGTCTTCCAAACCCCCAAGAGCATTAAACCAGTATCATTTTTCCTCTGGTCTTGTCAAAGCTGCCCTTCTAATCTGTTGTGTACCTTTTGAAAATTGTTGCTCACTTCTTAAGATGAATAAAAAGGTAAAAAGTGTCATGCTACAGGCACAATACTTACCCATTTAAGAAGACTTTCTTCAAAGCTTATGTGCAAAAAGCCTTAGCGAATCTACATCAAACAGAGCAAAACTGTCAGTTGGGGAAATTGAACTGGTTCAAGCTCTGAAATAGAGAAAAAAATCAATAATAAGGGAAAGAACAGAGTTTCCCTCTTTTCCCAATACAGTGAGTTTGACTTCAAGTATATCCCATTTTCTCATTTTAAGCACTTTACTTTGAACAGTACAATATATACTTAGGACTTTGCCATGAAAAATGGCATCCTGTACATTGGAACAACTTTTAAAAGATATCTTGTTGGCAGTAAGCATTTGAAAGCATACTCCAGCATTTCACATTTATCTGGCAAAGTGTAATTTTACAACTATCCCACCTATAAAGCAATATAAACACATCTGTCATCTGTGCACACACAGAGCTATGTGGCTGGCTACAGAAACATAAACAAAGAAAAAAGCTCAAAGAAGAGGAGAAACGCCCTCCAGAGTGCACAGCCTGACTCTGGTGAAGCCCAAGCAGCTCCTCACAAGGAGACTCTGGGAAGGCTTTTCCTCAGCGTCAGATGTCAAAACATTGCAGCAGCTATTCTGCTAGGGAATGGGGGTGGAATTTAGCTCAACAGAAACAATAGTTCCTGCTGTTAGGAAACAAAGGTCCAGAGGAATAGGCTGCTTCATGCAGAAAGCCATTAGAAATCATCAGAATACACTGTGCAGAAAACTGCAGTCACGATATTGCAGCCAGCTGTTACAACCTGTCCAACAGGCTTAATAATCCTCAGCATCAGGAGAGTCCCTTGATGTGGGCACATGTGAGAACAGGGAGTTTTGTGGGTTTCAACCAAGGTTATGTCTGAGATTAAAGAGCAGTTAATAGGTTAAGGCTATGTCAGAAGGACTTTATGCAGCACATACTGAGGTCCTTGAAAATGGTTTGGTTGAAGTAAATCTGATGTGTCCAAGGGCTTTTTTCCCCTGAACCAAAGTGAGGACTATCTTATCATGACTTTCTGCACAGTTGCAGATAGTTTGATAAGCTGGAGATACGCTGGACTCTATTATGGCTAATGGGAGTTTATTTTAGAACTAGAGGAGAGGGGAAGGGAACAGAGGCAGCCTCCAGCCTCTTCCTCTGCTCTGGGTACGGGGCAAAGCGCAGGCTCAATGTGCTGGGCTTTCGAGAGGCCTGGGAAGAGCAGGGCAGTGATCGCTGCCATTGCTGCAGCACAGCCCGTGGCAGAACAATGTGCTGGGCTTTAGAGAGGCTTGGCAGGAGCAAGAGCAGTGCTGCCATTGCAGCAGCACCGCCGTCAGCAGCGAGGCCGAGGCCTGTCCCCGGCACAGCCGAGCGGAGCGGGAGCGGCCCTGGGGCCTGGTCGTGCTCCGGGTTTTACCTCAGCGAAAGCACCCCTGGCTGCTCCGTTACTCCCTCAGAGCCCTGCCCAGGGCAGGATTTGGGGTTTTGGTGTGCTTCCCAACTGCGGGTTCATAAACTTTGGAGTCTGCCTTTGAACAATGTGGAGTTCCAGGAATTTTTTTCACCTGTCACCTGTATGGCAATGACTACTGCTAAAAGAAAGAACTTGCCTGTTCAGACTTGTCACTTCCCATGTAAACACTCTGAAGGTAACAGAGATTTCTTCACAAGAGGCTATCCTGAAAAACTGAATTGCTCCAGGCCATCTGATGTGGAGGAGTCTCATTTTCAGGGATTTGGGAAGACTTCTCCCACTTTTCTTCACTGGCTGCCTTCTGAGGGAGCAAAGTCAAGAATATCTCAGCCTATGTTCCCCCAACAGCATGTCATTTATTCTGGTAAACCTGGGAAACACAGGTTAAAATAGCACACATAAAATGGTTTTTAATGCAGATTGTTGGCTGTAAGGGTATGGGATGGTACCCATTCCCTGGGACTGCTATTTTCCTAACTGGCTCAAGTGCCTACTTGAATTAAGGGCATTTACTTTTCAGCAGTTTATATTTAGTTCTAGCAAGTGAAAAAATTTGGATTAGAAATGACCCAGAAGTCTCTAGAGTTGAAGCAGGTAGAAGTGAAATGGGAAGATCACAGCCTAACTGACCAAAGCCTTCAGCAAAACACTGCATCACAGTCATAGGAGATAGTTCAGAAAAAAAGGCTTGTGGCTCAAATTCTCTTAAAGGAAGTTTTGCTATCAAACAGAGTGACTTTTCCTTGAGAAGATTATCTCAAATAACTGCTAGTTCTCTCCAAAAGCACAGTGGAGCTGAAGTAAACTAGCATTTTGTTATTGAGAAGCTCTTTCTTATCTTTTGTTTTTAGAAGGTGGGTACAACCAAACAGCCTATTGTTCTAGGGGAAAACTGCATTCTTCCTCTCCCAGAACAGAACAGAAAACAGCCCTCCCAGGGTCTAGCTAAAGACTTGAAGGTCACTGACTGGATTCCTTAAGTTTAGATTCTTGGGGTTTGCTATGTCTCATTTTTTTTTCTTAAACATTAATATTATGGCAAACACATTTGCATTACATACAAGGAATGTTTGATGTGAAATACATTACCTCTTTTTCTCCATCTCCAAAAGAGGAATCTGTAATATCTTATAGATTTGAAGCAAAATGAGGAAGAAATATATTGTTAAAGAAAACAAATATAACTTTATGGAAATATCATCATCAAAATTGGCAAAGATTTTCAAAGAGAACAGAAGGCATCCAGAAACTCATTCTCTGAGTCCTAGCATGGAAGCCAAATCCTAAATGAATTTTCTTTATCAGATTGTTTTATCTAGATATGCATTAGCTGACAAATATTAAATATTCAGAGTTACTTTACTTTGTTTAGTGCCAAGAGGCACCATCCAACTGAAGACATTTCTGCCCCACACTTCAGGAAGAAAGCACAGAAGACGTGCTGTCACCATTTCTCTCTAGCAACTGTGTCTCTTACATCTTCCTAGTGGAAATGAAGGGCTCTAGCAGACCCTTGGTGGATGTCTCCGTGGCTGTTCAAACACACAGCATACACAGTGCTTGTGTCTCCTTCAGCCTACGTTTGTACTGCCTTTGCAGGGCTTTGGGGGAGCTGCCTGCTCCCAGTACTCTGATAGCCTCTCCTTTGGCTGGCCTGTGCTGGCACCACGTGCTGTGCCAACAAACTCCTGCTTGTTCCAGGAGCTGGGTGAGGATCTAGGAAAGAAACGTGCTGGCACCACATGCTGTGCCAACAAACAAACTCCTGCTTGTTCCAGGAGCTGGGTGAGGATCTAGGAAAGAAAGCATTGAGCCCTCAGGCTGCTCACAGCACAAACTGAGCCCTAGACCTTTCTGAAACCTGAATTTGACTTTTTCCAAAGACCATACTTCCTGATACTTCCTGATAGCATAATGGTAGTCTCATGACCAGTATTGTCGAAATCAATAGGAAGTACTCAGAGGCAGAGGTCATCTTGCATAAGCTGCTTGGAAAGAACCAGAATTTTGCACAAGAATTCAGGAAAACCAGTAGCTCTCACAGTAAGAGTTTAGACATTTTCACTCTCGTTGCTGTTTCATGCAGCAGTGGCAATGGAGAAGGAAATGAAAGTGGCATATGATACATGAAGATGGACTTTTGTTGATGTACTTATTTCAGCTCAGGTCACTATTCTGCAGAGTATAAAATTTCCTATTTAGATTTTTTGTATCTATTTTACTCCCTTGCCCAAAATTCTTTAACATGTTTTATAATCCAGTTCATTAACTAGTCAGACATAAATACGCATGCAACAGAAATAAGCAATCTCACATTTACCTGTGTCAAGGATAGACTTTAACCATGCATGCATCTATAAAAAGATGCATTTGTTGATTGATAATATGAGTTTTACACATACTTTGTGTTATCTTTGTGTGTACCTGAGGAACAAAGCTAAACAAGGTGTTTGATGTGTGTGTTAGTCTCTAAACAAGAGACAGAGCAGGAGTAATAATATTTAACAGAAAAAAATGGGGAAATAACAGTCTCTCTGAGGAATGTTTAATGTTTAAAAAAACTTATAACGATTTATCGATTAAGATATTGTGCGTTTTAAACAAGTGTATTGTAAATTGATTAATGAACAGTAGCACAGACATTAGTCCACTGTTCCACCCAGAATGTTTCACTTGCAGTTTGGAGTACCTTTTGTTCCTTTTTGTTTTTTTGAGGAAGTGTGTTGGGGGTGTGGGTTTTTTTAATACAAAAGTCATATATTGATGACTATGCAGTGAGATGACCTGGACAGGACAGGGTTTAGGCAACTGCTCAAAGAGATTTTGTATAAACTTCAGAGGAAGAGAAAGAGAATATTGTTAGATGGATTAAATTGTCCTTGTACTATGCAGCAAATAATTTTTAAAGGAGTTCAGTAAAAAGTTATAGTATTTTTTTTAATATTGTGACTTAAGAAGTATTTTAGACCCTACAGTGAAGTTGCTGTGCATAATCCTACCCATTCTATGCATCAGTGCACAGTAGCTTCTTAAAATCAAAAAGCCCTCTCCTTGCT